CACTCAGTGAGACAGGCAGGGCAGGGTGATTGATGCTGGTACTAATGACGCGTGAGAATTTGCACCGATCTTCCATCTTCGGTAGCCTGGAATTCCGCACCGTCCTACCTCGCTTGGCTCAAAAACAAGTTCAGGAACCTTTACGTGCAAAACAAGGCAAAGAATTAGCATTTTTCCGGATGCTGATTTACAGGGTTCTCTCTCTCCTCCCCCCTCCCCCACCTCCACAAACCCGTGTTCAAGAGGATGAATGGCTCGCGGGATTTACTGCCACTGACAGCGTAATAGACTTGAATTAATATCGGCCGATACAGTCATTAACCCCCACCAGCCCCAGCCTTGCAAATCTCCTTCCAACCTCGCGAGCAGTCAAACCCTGCAAACGCCTGCAAGCTCTCTTCCCGAAGGTGAAACCCATTTCGTATAATAATTTTGTCATCATAATTTCACTCACAAAACACACAATTAAATCCACTTGACAGTGTATCCTGTGAAGCGCTTTGAGACGTTGCGATGACATCACAGGGGGTTAAAAATGTAAGAATTATTATTATTTTTATTATTATGAATAATAAAATTTGGTCACAATTTGGCCCACGACAGCCATGCAATGAATAACCAATTGTATCTGGGGGATTGTTGGCCAGAACATTGGGGAGAAATTCCCCTCTTTTTAAATAGTGCCGCGGGATCTTTAACGTCCGCAGGAACCGATGGGACGCAGCACAGTTTAATGTCCCATCCAAAACACGGCACCTCCAGCAATGCAACCCTGGGGTCCGGGACGTCTGGGGTTCTTCGTGAAGAAATTGGTTAAGAAACCTCACAGTTTGTGGTTTGGTCTTTCGGGCCAACAGGGACTTGTGCAACAGCAGTGGAGGAAGCGAGGAGCTGAGTCCTGCTATATTTATCCTACGAGCGAGCAGGTCAAGCAGATGAGGCCACAACCAAAGGGATTAGTGTCTGAAGAGCTCGGTGGGTGCGTAGACTCGAGCCATGTTTGCGTGTAGCTGCCGCAGCCGATTACTCATAGTCGAAGGGCCCCAAATTCGTAGGAACATAGGAAACGTTAGGACGAAAAAAGATCAAGGTCCATCCAGTTCGCCTTCCACCATCGTGGCAGTCACGTGCATGTGTCATGTTCTGAACAACCCATTTATTGTATCCCAGAATATTATTTCCTTAAATAAATCTTTTTATCTGTTTTTCATTTGAAAGAATGAACACTTCCTGGTTCCACCGTCTCTCTCAAGAGCCTGTTCCGTAGATTTACCACTCGCTCACTGAAATAGCGTTTCTGCAGAATAGTTTTAAATTTTCGCCCCTTCAGTCACGGGCTGTCTCCTCTGATTCAACCTGGCCTGAGCCCTGAGACCTTCTTGTAAAATGTAGGATAGCACAGAAATATTGCAGACAATTCTTAAAATTCAGCTCTTCATTTGGGAGCCCATTTTCTACAGTTCTTAAGCAGTGAGACTGAGGGAAAGGTTTTGTTTCTAATAATAATAATTGATACTCATAATAATCCTAATAATTACATGTTCTGCGCTGCTTAAAGTGAGGAAACGGGTGAAAACAAAATATGCCACAAAATTTCACCCCAGTATATAATCTCACACAATCTTGCATTCCTGTTTTCATTTCGACAAATATAAAGGGAGAAGTGAATCAGTATTTGGAGCCCAGCAGTGGGAAGCATTGCAGAGAAAGAGCAAGGAACTGGGATTCGATTAGAGAATAGTACTTAACTGCCTGCCTCAAAGGTGCCGTCCTTTGGATGAGGCGTTAAACCCGTCTGCCTGTTCAGGTGGCCGATAAAAATCCCACGGTATTATTCAAAAAGAACTTCTCCTGACGTCCTAGCCAACAATCTCCCAGATAAATAGGTGCATAGCTCATTTGGGGGAATCTTGCTGTATAATGAGTCTCGCCTATGCCTGCAGCCACAATCACATGCAAGACAAGTTGCCATTATAGCCTAACAGGGAGGGTGGTCCTAGCTGGACAAGTAGCCGGAAGGCTTGCTGGACGGCAATATCAATGGCAAGCTATGCAGTTTCAACTGGTTAGACTCTGGCGTAGAAACGGGAGTAGGCCATTCAGCCCCTCGAGCCTGTTCCGACATTCTATAAGATGATGGCTGATCTGTACCTCAAGTCCAATTACCTGCCCTTGCCCCGTATCCCTTAATACCCTGACCTAACAAATATCTATCCACCTCAGTCTTGAAAATGTGAAAGGATCCAACACCCACAGCCTTTTGGGGGAGAGAGTTCCAGATTTCCTCTGCTGTTTGGGTGAAAAGCTGCCTCTTGATTTCACTAAATGGCCTGGCTCTAATTTTAAGATTATGCCCCCATGTTCTGGATTCCTCTTCCAGATGAAATAGTAGGGGACACTCTGGGGTCCCCAAGCCTTGGCTCTTGCCAACCTGTGTCTAACACTTTCCGGAATTAGGTGAGCAGGATGTGTCCCTCCAGGAAGAGAGTCCGCATGCCATTCGAAGACTATGTCTCCGAGATTTCCACGTGTAGGTGGGATGCATGGAATTCTCAGCTTGGTTTGGATACTCTTACGTATGTTGATAGGTTTCCGCATTGTGTCAAGACACCCAGCTCACCAAACAAAAAGGCATGTCAAAGGGATGGAGTTCCAGAGAGCGGGACCACAAGGGAAAAACTTACTTTTTCTTCCTTCTCTGCGAAACTGTCTTCTTTCGAGCTTTGCTGCTGTGGAATCTTTTACAGCGCCAATTTTGCGGTGAATTACAATAAGAATTGATGACGGGGAAATTGTTTACCCGCAGGATTGCGGGTGGACTTTTGGCTCTGCCGGAATAAATAAGACATGGTCAAATCCGTATCTCTCGCGGTGTCTATCTAAGGTCAGGAAACAATCGGAATGCGACAACCAAACTCATGTTACAGAGGAAATAGCACACTTTAGGGGCTGTCTCTCAACTTCCAACTCCAGTCAACAAAGTAGAGTTTCATGTAAAGAAACAACTTGGCATTGAAAATGTGTCTCAATACCAGGACGTCTCAAAGGATTTCAATGGATTCCTCATCACCCTGTATCCACCCTCCCTGATCCCAAACCCCGCTCCTGCTTGGGTCTAAATCCGACTGTCAAGTGCCTTGGGACATCCTCCTGACTTGAAAGGTGCTATACAACTGTAATTTTATATTGTATCAATTCTAGTGATATATTTTTTGTAGTTGACAAATGCAGCAGCTGTTTTTGCTCACAGAATCAGCCTACAAGCAGTCATAAAATTATACAGGGTGTTCACAAAGTTTTGTTACCTCCACGGTTTTTTTCTACAGTGCACTAACCAGCAAGTAGTTAATTGTAATCAGCGTTTAACTGTATTTAGATGTTCGGAGGATGGGTGTGCGTGAACGCCATCATTTTCATGGCAGATAATGATCTGTCGCCATGTTCGGTGAGAAATCTTCCGTCACGTGGATGGATTGACATGGAAGTTACTGGTATCAGACATTGTTACACTCGACTCACCTTCAGCAGAAAATAATAATTAATTGTAAGAAAAAAACAGGGGAGGACGGGCGTATCAGGACTTTGTGTAAATTCAGACTAAATTAAACACTGAATACAATTAAGTACTTATTGATCAGTGTACTATACAAAAAAAATGGAGATAACAGGACTTTGTGAACACCCTGTTGGTTAGGACATCGGGGGAAGAGAGAAAGTGAGAAGCTGCCATCTCTTTTCCGATACACATGAACGGGATCATTTAACGCTCATCCAAGCAGGCAGACAGGATCTTGGCTTAACATCACATCTGACAGACGTGAGACCTCTGACCATGTGGACCGCCCCCCCCACCCACCACTCCTTCCCCTCAAAATTCCTGGGTTGGAGGAGGGTGTGGATACTCAGTCTTGACCATAAGTGCAAATCTCTGCCGTGGGGGCATGAACCCACACCTTCTGACCCAGAGGCAAGAATGCTTCCGACTGGGCCAAAACCAAATGGTGCCATTGACAGTGGAGTTCTGTCACACTATCACTTTCCAAGTTACCCCCCACCACCTGACGCTGGATTTATTCGCTCTGCAGGCCACAGCGTTCCAGCTGGTCGTCACAAGCAGCGCCCCTCTCACTGCGCTCACTCAGGCAACAGCAAACCAGCCCCGGAGGTGCATAAACGCTTGCACTAATTTCATGCCGTGTTAACCACAATCACACAGCAGAAATTAATTCCTTTTCTAAAGACTGAGCTCCACTTCTCCACACTCCGCTCCCCCTGGTTGGATGACACGAGCACCGATTTTGGGGCTATGGTGTCATTACCAATGAGCGCACAACCTCCCTCCCCCTCGAACCAGGATTCTACCCGGGCTGAGCCCGCGAGACCATGTTCTCTCGGTTAAAACGGGGACACGAATCGTGGGGAAGAATTCTTTTAAACCCACTGCATTTAGATGTTTTTCTAAAAGAACCAGAGGAAAAATATACACTGCTCTCTGATTCAGACTTTTCCACAATTGTTCAATTCTAATTTTGAAGGCAAGCTGGATCTTACTGACTGAACCCCAGACCTCTGTGTGGGTGACATTAACAATGGAGAGACTTCCACCAGTACTCAGTAGTGCGTGTATTATAGAATAATAATCCTTACATTTGATACAGCACCTAATATCATTGAGATGTCTCAAAAGTGCTTCACAGAATATACTGTAAAGTGGACTGACTGTGTACTTTGTGGGAAAAATGCAGCAGCAAACTGCACGCAAACAGTCGTGGAGTGAGTGACCAAATTATTATTACTATTTTTTTTGAGGGATTATTACCCCCGCAAAAGTGATGCGGCAATCGACTAACACCTGAGTTCCTATTCACTGCTCGGTAAACAGAGATGTGTGGAGTAAGGAAACTTGCCTAATCTTTAATAGTTCAACCGAGGAGCGAGGCATCAATCTTCCCGAAGCAAACAAAAACACAAGCAAATATCAAAGAATCAAGGGGAAGCTATTTTTTTTTCGTAAGAATCGTGTTTAAATTTATTTATGTAATACGTTGTAGAAAGCCATTCTTAAAGCAACATCTGTACATCCCATCTAGCGACTGAGAATGTGTCTCAGTATATACACACCTATTTCCAGCAAGTCCTTGTGAGATGGTTTGGGTTGCTATTTTTGAGCCACAGACAGGGAAGTCGGGGTGGGGGGAGGGAAAGAACGGGAGAGGGGTAGGAGCGTAGGGTGGGGGTGGTGGGAGGGGAGTGAGGCATCGGTGGAGCGGGTGGGGTGGTAAAGTTTGCGGGTCACAGGGACACACGTTACATTCAAAAACTTATCAAAGGTTACACGTGGCAGAAGGGTCCTAGTGTTGAGTGATGCTGGAAATGGTAACACAAACACAGGCACACGTTTAAAGCAGAGCTCACACACACTGTACAGCGTTGAAGGTAAAAGCTTTCAGCTCAACAGCAGCTCTCTCGCGAAAAGTAGAAGGGGTGGGGGGGGGGGGTTGAGGGCAACAAAAAAGAAATGTTTCCGTCGTGTCACCTGGAATTAGTTATCAAACACCTAACGCATCACAGTTTTACTGCATAGTAAAAAGCCGGCTTTCTTTCCCTCCCCGCGCCCCCCGCCCTCCCCACCCCGTCAAGAGACAAAGAAAAATACCAAACCAGCATGGTATCCGCTCACCTGCAAAGCGGGTAAACCCACCAAGACAGAAGCAATCCCCACGCCCGCCCTTCCTCCCTCCCACCCACCCACCCACCCACCCCCAGCCTCCCCAAATGCAGCACAGCTATTTCGAAGCACGTCGCAATTTAAAAGGACTCGTTAATCTCCACAAATCACAAAGATAAACGGTGCAAACCCTTGCTAACAAGCTACATGATAAATAACAATCGGAGAGAGAGAGGAGAGAGACACGAAGATAATCATGCACTAGATACAGGTTAACCCCTAACAATTCACAAAAAACATTCATCGATAGATAACGTAGTGTTTAACAGTTAAAATGCTCGTCAAGAATACACTCGTGTATTTTTTTTTAAATTTTAAATTTCCTCCCGTTCAGGCATCTACTTGTGTTTTACAGCACAGCTGTTCAAAAAAAGGCGAGAATGAGCAGAGTAAATGTAAGGAGCGAGCCATGGGCGCGCCCCGGACACCCAATGGTACAAGCGATTTAAGATGCGGTCGGTCCATCTGAGGAGAGCGGGTCCCAACCCGCTGTGACGTGGGGTGGGGGGGACGCTCAGTTTTGCATCTGCTCAAAGAACTTGTATGTCGGGTTCTCGTACCCGTTCTGCTGCATCTTCGAGAGGTGCCGTTCCTCTGGGGTCACGGCTGCGTCCACCTGCGGGAGAGGGGGGAGGAAGGAAGAGACGGCGGAGGGTAGGGGGAGAGGGGGGGGGAAGACATGGCGGGCGGGGGTGGGGGGGCAAGAGGGAGGAAGGGCGGGGGGGAGGGGCCGAAGAGACGGCGGTGGGGGAAGAGAGGGAGGAAGAGACGGGGGGAGAGAGAGGAAAAGATGGGGGTAAGAGAGGAAGAGATGGGGGGGAAGACAAGGAGGAAGAGACGGGGAAGAGAGGGAGGAAGACACGGGGTGAAGAGACGGGGGAAGAGAGGGAGGAAGAGATGGGGGAAGAGAGGGAGGAAGAGACGGGGGAGAGAGGGAGGAAGAGACGGGGGGAGAGGGAGGAAGAGACGGGTGAGAGGGAGGAAAAGATGAGGGAAGAGAGGGAGGAAGAGACGAGGGGAGAGGGAGGAAGAGACGAGGGGAGAGGGAGGAAGAGACGAGGGGAGAGGGAGGAAGAGACGGGAGAAATAGAATGGAAGAACTCATCAATTCAACAACAACTTTTATATAGCTTTTATACAATGGCCTTCACGTGGGATAGCTTCTTGAGTGCTGTACAGTGGCGGTGTTGGATATCGAGCTAAGTGGGGGAGAAATGGGACACGGGAACGTGGGAGTAGGCCATTGAGCCTCTCGAGGCCTGTTCTGCCATTCTATTAGATCGTGGCTGATCTGTACCTCAACTCTCTTTACCTCCCTTGGATCCACATCCCTTGATACCCTTACCTAAAAATAAATCAACCCACCTCAGTCTTGCAAAATTCAATTGATCCAGCTTCCACAGCCTTTTGGAAGGGAAGGGAGAGAAGGGAAGGTGACCAAGGCTGTTGAAGAGGTAGGCATTTTAAGGTGGGATTTAGTGGGAATCGAGGGAAATAGAGCGTATTTCTTAGCCAATTTTATCACGACAAATGCCCTCAATTTACTGTGAAGTGTAGTAACTGCGTATTTTGCAGGTGAACACGGCAGTCAATTTTACACCCAGCAATGTCCCACAAAACAGCCATGAAATGAATGACGGTTTTTTATTTGGAGGATTGTTGGCCAGGACGCTGGCGACCAGCTTGATGGGTTAAGTGGCCTGTTTGTACGACGGGGGCCATTAGATTGCAGCTCAGCAAAAGCAGGGGTGGAAGGGGTTAAGGCTCAACCAGCACTGGGGGACCGGAAGAGAAACTCGATCAGAAACTCAGGAAGAATGGAAGCAGATCCCGCAATCCCAACAGCTGCTACTTATATTGGTATAAGTGAGAGGCCAGGATGAGAGCCTGAGAATGAAGTAAGCTCTATGACGGAAAGGATTAAAATACAAACTATTTGAGGCCTCTAGCTGCTCTCTCTCTCTTGCTCTACTGAGCCAGCTCAGTTGAAAGGTGGCATGTCCCGTCACGATCTAGTGGCTCAGGAGAAATTTGGCCTCCGCTGTTTGTATATGTCTGTGGTATGTGTAAGGCGCTGGGGCCGCAGTGTGTGTGTGTGAGAGAGATGCTGGGTCGCTGTGTATGTGGTGTGTGTATATGTGGTGTGTGTGCGTGTGTGTGTGAGGTGTTGGGGGCGCTGTGTATGTATGTGGTGTGTATGTGGTGTGTGTGTGTGCTGCTGGGTGAGTATGTGGTGTGTGTGTTGCGTGTGAGCTGCTGGGGTACTGTGTGTGTATGTGGTGTGTATGTGCGTGTGAGCTGCTGGAGCAGTGTGTGTGTATGTGGTGTGTGTGTGCACCTGCGTGTGAACTGCTGGGTGAGTATGTGGGGTGTGTGTGGGCATGTGTGTGAGCTGCTGGGGCACTGTGTGTGTATGTGGTGTGTGTGCGTGGTGTGTGGAGGCTGATTGGAGTGGGTGAGTTCACTGGTCAATCGTCTTCCGAAGATTAAGGAGGTTTTTCATTGATTGATTGATTGATTGATTGATTCATTCATTCAGCAACACGCACCCCTCTTTCCCCAACCTAACCCCATTCCTCCTTTTTATTTTTGAACACATTGATCCCTTTGTGTCCGTAGAACAAAAAATAGGAAAAGGAGAAGACTATTCTCCTGGCTGGACAACTCTACTATATTATCAGAACTTAACACCATTTCCCTGTCCCTTGAATCGTATCCCTCTGTACTCCTTTGCCCACCGAATAGTTATCGACCTCCCTCTTGAATATTTAAGACCCGGTGCCTACACCCAGGCACTCCCCCCTTGTACCCACAGCTCAGAGCGTGAGCGGGCGGCCCCTGCCTTCGGGCTTGTCCCCCCCCCGCCCGTGTGGACGCCGAGCTCAGGAACGACGGCTCAATCGCTCACCTCGATAACGCCGTGATGGATGGACGTGTACTGCTTCTTTTTCAACATGACCAGGGTGATGACAATCACAGTCGCTATGACAACACCACCGACCATCAGGCCGATGATGGCTCCCTTGTTGGATCCCACGTCTTCCGGGAAAAACACCTGAGGGCAAGAATTTGCACGGACATTTTAACCCAACCATTCAGTCTGAGCGCATACCCACATCATGTGACCATTTGCCCATTTGGGGTTGCCGCACAGTGCAGCTGCTTCCATCTTTACAGCAGGAACACCCTTCCTCTGGGCATTGTAATAATAATCCTTGCATTTGATACAGCGCTTTATCACATCGTTGAGACGTCTCAAAGTGCTTCACAGGATATACTTAAAGTGGAGTGACTGTATTTTGTGGGCAAAACGCTGCAGCCAGTTGTGTGCAGCAGTGACCCACAAACAGTCGTGGACTGAGTGACCAATTTTACGTTTGGAGGATTGTTGGCCAGAACACCGGGAGAGAGAAACTCCCTTCTCTTTTCAAATAGTGCCATGAGATCTTTAACATCCACCTGAAAAGGCAGATAGGACCTCGGTTTAATGTCTCATCTGAAGGACGACACCTCCGACAACGCAACATCCCCACAGAACTGTATTGGAGTGTCAGCTTAAAGTAAGTGATTCCAACTACCGACGTGAGGCTTGAACCCAGAACCTTCTGACTCAGAAGTGCTGAGAGTGCTACCACTGTGCCAGGCTGATCCCATCGTCCGTCACTGATGCACCAAAAATTAACCCTGAAATTAACGGCCTGAAAATTAACTGTCTCGCTGGATGTGGCGGTTTTTTCAGCCACAAAACAATTGGGGCCCTGATCTGTGCGTATTGGAGTCAGCGAGCACCAGACACTGCAAATTATTCCGCGACGGGGAGAAATGCCGACTGAATCCACGGCACTTCTAAGTCACCATAATACATGAATCGTCACATTTCTGAAACACATTCCTCAGCGCAGTCAACACCTCAGAAAATCTGCGATCACACTCCCTTTCCTATTAAGAAATCACGAAGAAATCTTGCAAATTAGATTTGCCTTTGCAAAACCGGGTTAACCGGATTGTGCTCAAGGACCCAACCTGAGCTCAGAAGCCAATACACACCAATTATTAATAAATCACTGAAGCTTGCAGTTTAAAGGGCTTTTCACGTAGGGCGAGTCTTGTGAAGCGGTTCACAGAAACAGCCGGAAATGCTGAGCAGGGAGCAGAGGATGAGAATTGAAAGGTGTTGACTCGTTGGCTAATGAGCTGGGCCAATAAAAAATTGCGGATATATTTGCTAAAAACTGTGGGGGAAATTTGACTGGTTTTGCGGGAAAATGTTTGGTGCTTTTAAGGTACATTTTACTGCCAACCTACAATTTTTCATTCTATTGATAAAAACTAAACATGAAGAAATAACACACATTAGATTGTTGCAAAAAAAATGATTAATGCTTTTCTTTTGGGTGACCCATTCCGGGGACGATGATGGTGGAGAGTGGTCACACACAGACCACGCAAGTCCGAAGGCCCTGGAAATCCGCCAAAAAACAGCCCTGCTACCAGTGTCTTGACTACAGGGCTACAGGAGCTCACCATCTCCAGGCTCTCAGAGCCCAGCACTGCACACAGACAGAGACCCAGAGAAAGACACACAGTCACAGAGACACACTCAGACACGCACATACACTCATTGACAGAGAGTGACGCACACACACATCCAGACATACACTCACAAACATACACTCATACAGAAAGACACAGACAAACTCACACAGAGACGCTCACAAACACACACACATACACAGAGACACACACATAACAACTTGCATTATATAGCGCCCTCCATGTACGGTAGTGTCTCAGTACGTAGAGGAAGAGAGACACACAGAGAATCTCAACAATGGAGCCTCTGGGTGGAGTGAAATCCATTTCCCGCTCGCGCACCACCGCACATGGGCATCTGGAGCCGCCCACAGTCACGTCAAGTAAACAGCTGGCAGCAGCAAGAGAGGTACGAGTGCCAGAAAGTTCTTTTTACAGGTTTCTAGCGGGCGGTGTTTATAGCAGAGGGAGGTCTTTATAGCTTATTTGCTATATCATAAGAACAGGAATAGGCCATTCAGCCCTTCAAGCCATTTAATCAGATCGTGGCTGATCTGTACCTCAACTAATCTTTTCAATTCCAATTTCCCGCTTTCTCCCCATATCCCTTAATCCCCTGACCTACCAAAAATCTACCAACCTCACTCTTGAAGGTGTGGATGGATCCAGCATCCACGGCTTTTGGGGGAGAGAATTCCAGATTTCTACCACCCTTTCAGTGAAAAAATGCTTCCTGATTTCACTCTTAAATGGCCTGGTTCTAATTTTAAGATTATGCCCTCTTGTTTTGGATTCCCCACCAGAGGAAATAGCCTCTCTGTATCCACCTTATCGAATCTGTTTATCATCTTAAATATCTCAATCAAACCACCCCTCAACCTTCTAAACTCATGGGAATGCAATCCAAGTTTACACAGCCTTTCCTCGTAACTTAACCCTTTTAGGCCTGGTAACATTCTGGTGAACCTACGCTGCACTCCTTCCAGGGTCAATATATCTTTCCTGAAGTGTGGTGCCCAAAACTGAACACAGTCTCCAGATGGGATCCGACTGACGCTCTATGCAGCTGAAGTTTCATTTCTTGTCCTTTGTAATCCAGGCCCCTTGAGATAAAGGACAACATTCCATTTGCCTTTTTGATTACTTTTTGCCCTGAAAACTAGTTTTTAGTGATTTGTGGATATGGACACCCAAATCTCTTTGCTTATCCACTGTTCTTAATTTCTCCCCATTAAGAAAATATTCTGCTTTATTTCTTTTGGGCCATAGTGGATGACCCCGCCCGTCCCTACATTGAACTCCATCTGCCACAGTTTAGACTTAATCTGTCTAAATCCCTTTGTAACTTCCTAGTCCCATCTATAATAACAATAATCCTTGTATTTGATATAGCGCTTTTCACGTCGGGAGGACGTCCCAAAGCGCTTCACAGAACACACTGTAAAGTGAATTGACTGTATATTTGTGGGCAAACGCGGCAGCCAATTGCACACAGCAATGTCCCACAAACAGTCGTAGATTGAAAATGACCAATTTATTATTGTTTTTTTGGTTTTGGAGGGATTATTATTATTATCTACACAATTTACTAAGCCTCCTCGCTTCGTGTCATCTGCAAACTTGGTTATTAAACTTTCTATTCCTTCATCCAAGTCATTTATATATATTATATATATAGGCAAATAACTGGGGTCCCAGTACAGACCCCTGGGGGACACCAGTTGTCACGTCCCGCCAATCAGGGAACGTTCCCTCTATACCTACTCTCTTGTTTCCTGCCTCCCAACCAATTACCAAGCCACGTCACAAGGTTACCTCCGACTCCATGTGCTTCCATTTTTGCTAACAATCTTTTGTCTGGAACCTTACCAAATGCCTTCTGAAAGACCATATAAACGACATCCATGGACACTCTCTTATCCACCATTTCAGTGACCTCCTCAAAAAATTAAACTAGATTAGTCAGACACGACCTACCCTTCACAAACCCATGCTGACTCTCTTTGACTGGCTCATAACTGTCCAAGTGTTCAGTCACTCTGTCCCCATGATGGATTTCAGTATTTTCTTTACAACGGACTTTAAGCTGACAGGTCTGTAGCTTCCTGGTTTCCCCCTCATAATTTTCCAATCTGAGGGCACAATTCCCGAATCTAGTGAGCTTTGGAAAATTATGATGAATGCATCTGCAATTTCCTCTCCTATTTCCTTTAACACCCTGGGGTGGAAACTATCAGGTCCTGGAGATTTGTCTATCTTGAGTCTCAATAATTCCTCCATTACCATTTTTTAAATTTATATTAATTTTATTAAGCATTTCTCTTTTGACTTATTTTTAGGTCCCCTGTATGGCTGGTATTTTGTCCTCATACTCTACTGTAATAACGGTAGTGAAGTATTTATTTAACAAGTCAGCCATTTCCTTATTTTCCATTATAATCTCACCTACATCTGTCTTTAATGGACCCACATTCCCCTTGACCATTCTCTTTTATATTTATAAAAGGTTTTACTATTGGTTTTAATATCCCTTGCAATTTTTTTTCATACACCCTTTTTGCTCTTTTTATTACTGACTTTGCTGCCTTTTGTAGCTCTCCCAGTCCTCTGCATTCCCACTTTTTCTTGCATTTGAACAAGCCTTTCCTTTTGGCTTGAGAGTCTCTAACCTCTTTTGTTTATCATGGTTGCTTAACTACACGATTGAAGCTTTTGCATTTTAGGGCTATGTACTTATTCTGTATTGTATCAAATACGTTTTTGAATACTTCCCATTGTTCATCTGCAGATTTACCCAATAACAATTCAGCCCAGTTTACTGTGGTCAATATACTTCTCATCCTATCGAAGTTTGCCTTACATAAATCCTTGAGTTTGGGACTCTCCCTTCTCCCTCTCAAATCTAATGTCAAATTCAATCATATTATGATCACTATTTGCAAGATGTTCCCTTACGATCAGATTGTTAACTAGTTCTGGCTCACTTAAGCGTTCTGAGATGCTACCCTTCGTGGAGGGCGTTATACAAGTGCAAGTTGTTGTTGTTATTAATACTCATCACCAAATCCAGCATGGCTTGCTCCCTTGTTGGTTCTAAAACATATTGTTCCAAAAACTGCATTTGATGTATTTGATATTAAATACATCAAATTAATAATATTCCTTACATTAGATGTAGCGCCTTATTATGTCTTTGAGACATGTCAAAAGCGCTTCACAGAATATACTGTATTGTTCCAAAAACTGCATTTGATGTATTTGATATTAAATACATCAAATTAATAATATTCCTTACATTAGATGTAGCGCCTTATCATGTCTTTGAGACATGTCAAAAGCGCTTCAGAGAATATACTGTAAAGCGAATTGACTGTATATTTTGTGGGTGAAACACAGCAGCCACCAACACGTGGATTGAGTGACCAAATTATTATTTTTGAAGGTATTATTACCCCGAGAAAACGATCTGCCAATCTACTCACAATCGGTTTCCTACTTACTGCTAGGTAAACAAGGGCGTGT